GGAGTTGAGGCTGAAGAGCCTGGACTGAAAGTGCACGTGTTCAGCCACCACTGTGCGCAATGCACGCAGCTCAGAGCTGGGGGAGGGGGGAGGGCAGTGCCCGCGTCCTCTGAGAGCAGGCAGCTGGCCTCCACTCCCCGCCAGGTGATACAACGGATCTTCTAAGTATCTGGGATGGAAAGGCACTGGTATCCTATATAATAAAAGGCTAATATGCAAATCGACTGAACAGCGCAACGACCAGTCACTATGACGTGCACTGACCACCAGGGGGCAGATGCTCAATGCAGGAGCTGCCCCCTGGTGGTCAATGCGCTCCCACAGGGGGAGCGCTGCTCAGCCAGAAGCTGGGCTCATGGCTGGCGAGTGCAGCGGTGGTGGCGGGAGCCTCTCCCACCTCAGAGGCAGCACTAAGGATGTCCGACTGCCTTCAGTCAGACATCCCCCGAGGGTTTCCCGACTGTGAGAGGGTGCAGGCTGGTTGAGGGACCCCCGAGTGTATGAATTTCGTGCACCAGGCCTCTATTTGAATATAATTGTGAGCTACAGCAGAGGAAGGAGAAAAAGTAGTGAGGCTATTGTATTACATGGCGACCTCTTACGATTCAAAATGTACACAGCTTCCTGCCTTGGCTTCCTGGCGGGCCTGCAGGAATAGCCGGATCCCACAAGAGCTGTCTCAGTGGCTGTTGGAGAGTAAGTCGTGAGCTCGAGGGTGGCGCCCATCCACAGCGGGTTTCCCTTCCTTCATTACACCTGGCCCTCCCCGACTCCCGGATGGACAGGGACATTCCTCCGACCAAAGGCATGCGAACAGCTGAGGTGTACTTGGCCTTGATGTTCAGAGCAGTGTCACGTGCACAGTGAGCCTCACACGTCTCTGTAATGCCAGGGTGTTTTCAATCCCCATTTCAGAGACAGGAATGGAGTCTCTGAAGGACAGGACTTGTTCAGGGTCACTCGGCCAACATGTAACGATGGGGCATCAGAACACAGGCTTTCTGATTTCCAGTCTCCATGCACCTCGTCACATACCATCTCATATTAAGGGGTACGACCCCCAACTTTCCTATACACTGTTCCCTCCCCATTATCACCCATCAGTGCGTGGCGAACAATTGTCAGTCAACCTCGGCACTGCTGAGCTTTGGGGCTGGATAATCCTCTGTTGCGGGGGGCTGTCCCGTGCACGGTGGTATGTTTAACTGCTACCACTGGATGCTGGCAGCACCTCCCTCGCCCCAGCCGAGAACCACCCTGGCACAGCTCACAGTGAGGGGTGGCCACAGGGGGCCTATGGTCCCCACAGCTCTCCCCTTTGTGAAGTAAGACTGTTGTTGGAGAGTAAACTGTAGAGCATTTGCTATGACCCTTGGTACGTGGTAAGTGCTAAGTAAACATCAGCTGCTGCTGTCATTAGCTATCCACTTATCGCCAGTATGTAAGTCGTGGGCAAACCCACTGCAGACCTGAGCTATGGGAAGCGGATGTGGGAGACGGACACAGGTGGGCTGTGTGGGGAGCGAGGAGCCTTGCGTGGTTTGAGGAGCACAGAAAAGGTGGGGGGTCGTTGCAGAGTGTTGACCACACTCGCTCAGGAAGGGACTGTGAAGGGAAGGACAGGCTAAAAGGAAGGGTAGGTGTGAACAAAGTTGGTTTTCTTCAAGAATTCAAGACGTATGAATATATTCTTAGCATGATAGCAAAAATATCCAGCCCCCTTGTAGTCTATTCAAATGAATCTAAGTACATTGAAATAAAGGTTAAGTGAGTCTCTGAATTCATTTTCTCCAAAAAATGTCCCTGATATCCAAAGGTAAGATGGGCTTCTACCCTCACTCCCTTGTGATGCACGCGCCCCCCCCCCGGCCCCGCCTTGGGGACCAGGTCCTGTGCTTTCCGACTGCCGCTGGGCCAGTGCCGTGCCCTGCACATGGTAGGAGCACACGAAGCATTTGCCAAATGAATGAAGCATGATCCAGTGAGGCCGCGCGTCCAGGGAAAGAGGCCAGAGCCTGATTGCGTCATTTCATTGTCACCAGGCCAGGCCGGGTGGAATGAGCTGGATTGGAGGCTGAGGCTGGTTATCAAATGAGGCCCCAGCTACCATCCCAAATATCTGCCATGTGACCACAACTCTACAGAAAATTACACACACACACACACACACACACGCATACACACACACACACAGAAAGATTAGAAGGAAAGTCCAACAGGTCTCACACCTACAGAGTGGACTCACAGGTGATTGCTTTTTCTCTAGGCGTTCTGTATTTTATCAGTTTTCTACACGAGAGCCTCCAACTGCTTTCTTCTAATTCTAATCCTGTAATTTAGACTCTGGCTGGACAAGCCCGACGGGAGGAGGTGTGTCCTACACACCTGAATGAGTCTGATGCCCCCGGCCATTCGCCTGCCCTGGCCTGTCAGCAGACCGATGGGTGCCCCGTGGTGGATGCGCACAACCGCGCCCGGGGCTTGCCGCACCCTCCCGGAGGTGGCCCTGCGAGGCCTGGCCCGCTTGGCAAGCCGGGCTCCTGGGTTTATTGCAACAAAATCGAACTCTCCCAGCTTCCCTGGCGGCAGTTTCTCCAGGCCTTCGAGGAAGGAAGACAGAGTGTGGAGTGGCGAGGACGGCTGGCAGGAGTGCTGGGGAAAGGCAGCTGCAGTCCCCGAGGCAGAGCGGGCACCGTCCGGGACCCTCCGTACCTGACCTCATGATCTGTGCCTGGAAGGGGGACAGGAAGACGGAACCCACCAGGCCTCGGGTAAGGGCCCACCACCAAGATGAGCAACAGCAGCAATGAAGACTTTCTGAGGAATACTGTGATTAAAACTTGCATGATCTGCACGTTTTAGATAAACTGAGTTGCCTTCAGCCGCTGTCACGCGGGAGCGATGAGGCTGACGGCGGAAGTAATAATGAACGAAACCACCAGCAGACCCAGGGTCTGCAAGCGTCAGAGGCTGTTTCGCTGAGATCCTGCTCGGCTCTGCACGAGGCAGGCCTGCGCCCCGAGGCCCCGGGGGTCCCAGGCAGCAGCCACAGCCTCTCCTAGCACTTTCCCCTCAAATACCATCCCCTTGGGAGCGTCAGTTCCCGAAAGAGTGTGAGTAATTCTTTCCTTCCTGTCTTTGCAAGGAAATGAGACTCACCACAGTGCCCCCTCACCCAGTTTCTTCCACCCTGGAATGCATCCCAACGGGTTATTTCTGTGCTCAGAGACTATTAATACACACAGACGGTCGAGACAATTCTCTTCTGCTACTGAAGCGAAGCCATTAGTAAATAAATACAATACTGTATTTTATAAATCAAAGAAAAAGCCCAACGCAGGCACCTGGCGATGAGGGAAGCCTCTCTCTGGCACGGGCGGAGGAAGCCAGGATCATCAGTGAGCCGAGCACCGCTCCCTGAAGCTCACTCCCAGCTCTCAGCGCGAGCCTGGGCGTCCTGCGTCTAAGGTCCCTTCTCAGCAAGCCCTTGAGGGACATTTTCAGTTCCAGGTCAAGAGGGGGGACGGTGCTGAGGTCAGAGCAAGCCCCCTCCTGCCTCCCTGTCTCAGCCGAAGGCGTTGGGTCACTCTACAGCAGCTTCCGTGACCTCGCTGGGACCTGGCACAGGGCAGCTGAGCTACGGCCTCCCCGAAGCTCCCCCACGGACGGTCCTAAAAAATCACGGTGGAGCCAGGGGCCAGGGTGAGCGAGGCATTTCCTGGCTCTTCTCCCTGGACCGTCTGCATCCTGGGGTGTCCCCTTAGGACCGGAAGGCACTGTACACTGCGTCCCACTAACTTGCAAACAGGGGACAGAAAAGACGAGAACCTCGCATCTGTCGGTTGCTGTGTGAGAGCTCATTTCTTCCTCCTGAGTGTGCCCTCATCTTGCTCACAGGATGTGAGGTCCCTAGAGAACAGCTGGGCTCTGCTGTCTTTTGTCCCACAAGGCAGTACTTTAGAGCTCATTTCTTCCTCCTGAGTGTGCCCTCATCTTGTTCACAGGATGTGAAGTCCCTAGGGGAACAGCTGGGCTCTGCTGTCTTTTGTCCCACAATGCAGTACTTCAGTGGAGCCTGGACTTAGAGTAGCCACTTAAAATATCCTGGAAGGTTTTTTTTTAAAAATAAAATTTGCCATGAAAAATCTCTCCCCAGGGCCCTCGTCACACGGGTCAGGACGGGTCTGTGGCGCTTCCTTTGCTGGCACCGTGATTTGCATCAAGGAAAGAAACGGCCAGTCACGGGCTCTCTCTCCCGCTCCACCGCGGCGACCCATGTCCAGCAGACGGCCCGCTCTGTCTGAAACACTACGCGTAAACAGTGACAAACGTCACCAGCAGGAACCCCGTCCTCTGTCTCTCGTTTAGAAGACGGCTGCTGTAGAGTATTCGGGCACTCTGCCCGATCTTAACACCGGCTCCCTTTGGGACAGGGAGCCCACGCCCACCTGCTGAGGGGCTCACACTGGACAGAGGCTGTGACTGCAATAAAGAGGGTGCGTCCTGCATGGCACCCGGGCCCGTGAGCCCAATGATTAGACGGAGGAACCACTTTCTTGGGGGCGAAGGTCAGGACACTAAGTGACTGAGGTGCCAGATGCTTCCTTTAAAACCAAAAAGAACGTAGGTGCTGCCAGCCCAGGGCCTCCACCAAGAGCACGGGCCGGACGGGGCCTCCTGAGCTCCCAGGTAACCAGTGGGAGCGGCATGAGCCCCCAGGGGCCACCTGCTAGGAAACAAGGCCTTGCGAAACGAGTGTGGACAATTCCTGACTTCTCTGAACTCACACAACCTCCTGGCATTTGCTCCCCCTTCTCGGTCTCCATGCCCAACTCTCAAACACGCGAGGGCACCATGAGGAATGTTGACTCTACTGCCAATCTCCTGCCGCAAGGCCTTTACCCCCGTGTTCACCATATATCCCCAGGGGATGTCCAGCAGGCACTCCCACTGCCTGCCTGCGCTGTCCCACCCCCAGCATGCTCAGGGCTGGCTCTTACCAGCTCCCCGGCGGGGCAACCGTTTCTCCACCGTCCGACTCTCCTTTCTGGGGCCCGGGGGTGGTGCGACCTTGTCCAGCTCTCCAGGGCTCACGTCGGGGCCCGCGGGCGGGTACGGGAGGGTGAGGGATTGTAGAAGCGGCTTCCTGGGCAGGGGCGGCTTGGAGCCCGGCTGCTCCGATGACCGGGCCTTCCCCTTCCCCTGTCCGTTGGGGGGCCTGGTCCCCCGAATCGTGGGGGCCGCCCCCACGTGACACTTGTCATCTTTCGAGAGCAGAGCCAGTCCTCCTTTTTCTAGCCGGACCTCAGCACTGTACCTCTTGACTCCTTTCCCTTCCGGCACGGCCACGTCTCTGTGTTTGAAGGAGAGAGATGTGGACCGGAGCTTGACGGGGAAGGGGCTCCTGTCCCCACACGGGCGTGGCTCCTGGGCGGAGGGGCGGGGCTCTCTTGTGGCTGGTGTGGCCACTGCCTCCGGGGGGTTCCCC